CATGGTAGAGTAAACACTAACTGGGACCTAGCTGCTCTGTTGCAACAAGTTTGGATTTGCTATTGAAACAAATCGACAAGTCTGTGGCTGAGGGCATGCATGAGGACCTTACAGAGTGTCATGCTGTGCCAGCAGCTTGGGCCCTGGAATGCCTGTGGACAGGGCCGGAGGGACTCCTATCATAAGGTTGGATTATGCTGAGAGGCCATACTTTATAAAGGCAAAACTTGTGAAATGCATTGCCATGGACATAAGGACAACCAACTGATATGAAGGACCACAGGGAACAAGGTCAGGTCTTGGCTAACGATAAGCACCCATCCCATGTCTGTGAGTTGGCAGGAAAGTAATGTGATCCCATCTCAAGTTGAGGAAACTGAGGCTCAGGGAGATGTTCAGAGGGTAGCACAATTCTCACTGCTAGTGAACAGCATGATAGGACGTGGCCCTGGATCTGGGCCTTTTGGCTTCATCTTGCAGTTCTTTATCAGGGAGATTCTGCATATGCTTTGAAGTAGGATCAGGAAATTGTGGGAAGAAAAACTCACTTATTTTCTCTCTTCAAACCTAGAACATTTTGTTGCAAAATTTTAAGAATCTAGACAATACTATAACATAAGATCCAAATATCTTATTTCTAAGTTACCACAGGTGTCTGGGAATTCAGCAAATCGAAGATCAATACAGTGACAGCAATATAAAGATGTAATCATGGCAAAGTTTTGTTTGGTTTAATGATAAAACCCGAATCCAAGTTTTGGCTCTATCATTTCTTAATATATAATTTAAGCTGACATGTAGTCTCTGGAATCCAGCAAAATCACTCTTGTCCTTTAAGGCCCAACTCAAAGTCAACACCTTTGTAAAACCTTCGCAGATTCTCCCAGACTCTCACCTCCACCTGCGCCTCCCCAAGAGAGGTAGTGACTTCACGCTTCATCGAAGTGGGATTGGGATTTATTGGCATTCTACTGTCTATTCCCACTAGAACGGAGCTCATCTTTGCAGGTTTAGCTGGTGGTGAAGCCCAGATCTCTTTTGCCAGAAAGTACATAAAGAACAGAGTTCTATCTAACGCACACGGAACGTGGCCACTTTGCGCCACAAGTGCTCCGAAATCTCCTTGCTAACAAATTCCACCAAGGCCGTGGTAGGGCGCAATGCCCGACATTTCAGGGAACACCCCCGCTGACTGTAAGCCCGTCGAGGCCCAGGCCGAACTTCTCTGAGCTCAGTGGCGCCGTACCTAGCCCTCGCCCCAGCGCCCAGCACGCAGCCACGCCGCGAGTACGGAGCTAACAGTCACCGATGGGGATGGAGCCGAGGGCAAAGAGGCACGACGCCTAAACTTCGACACTTGGCTGCGCAGAAGCCGCGGTTGGGAGCGCCCCGTGGGCCCGGGGGAGGGGCGCCAGGCCGCTCCGTCCAGCCGGGCGCCAGCTCCTCCCGGGCGCGCGGGCGGGCCGGCACCCACCGACAGCGGGCACACAAAGCCTACTCGGCTCGCTCGGCGATCGGCTCCTCATGCCTGTGCCGCCGCGCGCCGCCAGGCGGCTCCAGGTTGGGCGGCGGGCAGTGGCAGGCACAGGGCGTCAAGAAGCTGCACGCATCAAACCGCCGCGGGAGGGAGTGCGGAGGGGGGAGGAGGAGGAGTGGGAAAAGGAGGAGGGAGGAGGAGTGGGGACCGGGCGGGGGGTGGAGGAAGAGGCCTCGCGCAGCGGAGGGAGCAATTGAATTTCAAACACAAACAACTGCACAAGCGCGCACCCATCGTACCGGAGCGTTGCCCCAGATCCGCGCCCGCCCCGTCCGTGCGGCGCGCGGGCGGAGTCGCCGTGGCCGCGCCGGAGCCCGGGCCGGGGGCCACCATCGAGGCGGGGGCCGCGCGAGGGCCGGAGCGGAGCGGCGCCGCTACCGCCGCACGCGCAAACTTGGGCTCGCGCTTTCCGGCCCGGCGCGGAGCCCGGGGCGCCCGGAGCCCCGCCATGTCGCGATCCAACCGGCAGAAGGAGTACAAATGCGGGGACCTGGTGTTCGCCAAGATGAAGGGCTACCCACACTGGCCGGCCCGGGTGAGCAGCGCGGCCCGCCGCCTCCTATCCACCTCCAGGCTTGGGTTGCATAACACCCGGGAGGGCACGAGCGCTCCGCGCGGAGGGGTTGGGAGTGGGGGCGGGGGGCTTCTGAGTCCCGGAGTCTTAGCCAAGCGACTCCAAACCCACCCGCCGGTTATATAATGGTGGAGGCGGGGTGGTGGGGCGGCGGCGGCGGCGGCGAACACCTGGCCACACGGCGTCCGCGCGTAGTGGCGTGTGCGCGGCGTGGGGAACCGAGAGCGCCGGTCACTTTCCGGCCCCCGGCTCCGCGTGCTCAGTTCCGCCCCCAGCCCCCATACTCCCAGCGGTTTCGGGCGCGCTGCACGGGCCAGTGGTGTAACTCCTCCTACCCCCCCCAAGTGCCACCGCTACCCCCCTCAGGGACCCCCTTAGAGACCCCCAGTTTCTTCACTGATTGTTACCCCTAGTTCAAACTCTNTCCTACCCCCCCCAAGTGCCACCGCTACCCCCCTCAGGGACCCCCTTAGAGACCCCCAGTTTCTTCACTGATTGTTACCCCTAGTTCAAACTCTCCTCTTCCTAGATTAGATGGTTAAGCAGGATCTCAGCCCAGAAAGGGATAAACGGAGGCGGAGTTCGCTTCTACAAAACTTTGGTTTGGGGCATCCGTAAGATATCTAAAGCTAATAGGGTCGAGGAATCGTTGTGGGGGGGCGGAAGAAGAGGGAATCTGTCTGGTTTGGAAATCACCCGCTAGTACCCTTCACTCCTCACCCCACGAAAATACTCCTTCGTGTGCTGCCAACTCATACTTGGGGTTGAGGGTGGCAGGGCCCTTGTGGGATTGAGAAGTCCAGCCCGGGCTGCCCTCCCTGTGAGTGGAGGTGGAGGGAACCCGAGTTGCTTCTCCTCCCCATTTCTTAAGCCTCTCCCGCCAGAATGGTCCAGTCTGCCATGTGGTTGATTCAGCCCGCCAATATGAGGCGCCCCACCACCTCCGCCCAGCACCTGGCCAGGTGGGAGGGTGGGGCCCAAAAGCCCAGCCTGGCGCATTCATCATGTTTCCCCTAAGAACTGAGACAGGTGAAGTAACAGTATGCGAGGTTGCCAGAGGTTGTTGGAGGAGGTTGGGGGTGTCACAAGGGACAGTGCCTCCGGAAACTTATTTCAAAGTTGGTGTAGGGCCTTTGGGTTTGGCCCTAGAGTATAGGACTCCTGAAGAGTGAAATCCAAGGGTAGAGAGAAGTAGAGGGAAGGAGTCTTCGGGGCAAGGGGGCCAAGTGGAGAGCTGTGTTGTTGGCTGTGGGTTGCTCTTTTCCGTGTGAGTCTGTCATCATTTGGGCCAGACCGTGCTCTGAGGAAAGTTGGTCCAGGCCCCCTGGGTCCTGTTCAGAGTGTGCAGACCAGCTTTGGGGCCAGTCTGAGAAAATCCAGGAGACCCTCACTCTGTACCCTCTCCTCAGGAATGTGCCTAATCCCATATGCCTTGAGCTCCTTGTTCCTGGAAACTTCTGGATGTCTGGCCTCTGGAGTGGGAGTGAAGTCCAGAGTGAAGCAGGGCTCTCCCAACTTCCAAGGCCTCCTAGGGGACTTGGGTGGTGGCGGCGGCGGAGGTAGTGTGAGCAAGTAGCCACGGCCAGCTGTGTGTGTGCATGTCTGTGTGTGGTGTGTGAACACTCATGTACTTTACCCTGCACCTTTGATCCATCTGGCTTCTTGGTTCAGATGCCAGGGTCCTGATGGGCAGGGCAAGAACTGAACCCAGGTCTCTACTGCTCCTACCTCCTGGGGAGAGACTCAGAGCCCAGAGACTGGGGAGGGGGCTCAGCTGGAATGTGGGTTGCAGAGGACCTCTTCAGGCTGCAAAGAGGGGAGGGCCCCATATGGACACATACTGGCCCATATGAAGAAGACCTTCGGGTTTCTGGTGGCCTTGGAGTAAGGGCAGTACCTGGGGCTGGGAATGCTATTTCTTCTTCATCCCAGGCCTCTAGGACAGGGGGCAGCCTGTTGCTCTGTTGAGGGCTGGACCCTTTAGATAAAGTTAGAGTTGGAGGGGGACCAGACTGGATCCTAAAGAGATAGGACCCCACCCTTTGCCTGTGCTCTGGGTCTTGATTATGAAAATTAGAGGGAGTGGTACACCCAAGCTTGTTATGTTCCAAATACATTCTCCTTGAATGCCAAAAGAGCAGACAAATTGGGGTCTCCTTACCATCCTTGGATGCTGTCTTAGTCTATAGAGTGGCAGAGCCTGAAGGGGGGTCTGGCTCTTCCTGAGATGGAGGAGGAATAGAGGAGCCTTGCTAACCGTTCCATATAATAGGCAACCAGAGCCCTCAGCCATAGTGAAGGCAACTGTGTGGACTTTTCTTCCTTAGGCCCTGCTTCTGGGGAGGGTGACTGACTCTGGGTGAGACTGGAACAGTCCAGTGCTTGCAGAGTCCAGCCAGAGGGACCACGTGGTAGGCAAGACCTGCCTGGAAGGATGGTGTGACTCCATCTTAACCTTCTCCTTTCCTCTTCCTTCTGCATAACTTCCCCGGGGGATCTCCAAGCTCTTAACAATTAACCTCCAAGACTCAGGGATTTTTCCCCTTAGGTTCCTTCCTCCTTTCTCCACTTCCTGTTTCACAGTCCCGGAAAACCTGCACAGCCAGAGGGCCTCACCCATCTTTCCTCCTTCTGCCCCTCCCCCACATCCAGGCACCACCTTCTTTTCTGCCTCTCCAGCTTGCCACACTTTCCTGGCCCCAACTGTCTCCTGCCCCAGATTTTCCGGTTCCTGGGTCAGGTCAGGCCTGGGCCCTGGGTGTGGTGGTCAGAACCCTGGCTGGCAGTCAGTGTGGGCTTAGCCTTCTCTGCTGCCTTCCTGTGTGCTGAGCCGGGCGCCCCTGGGCCTGGATTGGGTATGAGGCTGGGGGAGAAAAAGTGTTTAATCTTCTCTCACCACTCCTCACCTGGGAACTTAAGAGCTTAGAAGGTGTCCATGGGCTCTGGCTGGGTGGGACTTCTGTGTGCAGGCCGGTCTGTAGGAGCTAGGCAGAGGCAGTAGGCAGGCGTGGGAGTGGAAGAGCCCCAGGCTGGGGGAAGTAACTTGCCAGGATTCCTAGAATGGCTGGGAAGGAGCAGAGCCCCCTCCCCTGTTGGCCAGGGGAGGAGGTGCAGTGGGGTCTCCAGCACTTCTCTGGCCCCACCCTGACCCACTTAGCCTTGACTCACTCGTTCTGAGTCAGAGTCTAGATATAAAGACACCGCCTGGGAGACACATGTCAATACTGGGGGTACAGGCCTCCCCTGAGACCTCATATCCTCTATGTTGTGGATGAAGAACTGCCTTTCACTTCCAAATGCAAGATAAGACATTTCCTTTGTGACTTGAAGGATGAAGGGTCCACTGGAGAAGGAATGTCTCCCCTTTTTGGGGTGAGGGGTTGGGAATTCCATTAAGTGAAAAGAGCACTGCTTTCCTGGCCCTTCCCCACAGGTGCCTACTCTCAAGGTCAGATGGGGTGGGGGTGGCATTACCCTTTTGGGGGTAGATGCCCATCTGCCCAGGTCCTTGGCCTCCCTCTTTCCTCTCAACCCACCCTTTATTTTGCTAGAAGTCAGCAGGGTGGGTATATGTGGTGTGTCTCGTTCTATTTTTAATTCCCATCCATTCTTTTGTTTCTCCCCCGCCCCTGAGGCTGGGCAGCTGGTGGCCTCCTGGATCCCATCACAGTGTTCGGCTACCTCTCTCTTTGAGTTTGTTTCCCATGGGAAAGAGACTGAAGGTTGGAGCGCCGCTTTGCCTGGTCTCAGCTCCTTGAGAGAACCTCGTGCGTGTCTCCTGTTTCTGACCCCTTTGCTCACCCGACCCCCTTTCCTGGGCCTCAGTTTCTCCCCTTTCATCACATGTTTCCTACAAGCCTGTTACTGCCCGGCTCAAGTGTGGTGCTGAAAACATGGAGCCCAGATGAGTTCCTAACTGGGACCCTTAGATATCCCCCCACCCCCCACCCCAAGTTCTCTTTCCTGATGCACAAAGATCCACGGAGAAGAGGCCTAGGAAAGGGCTTCTGCTATTATTGTCTTATGCCTGTCTCCTGGGATTTCTGAGCCCTGGATCCTCTCATTTTATTTTTTGTTCCCCCCTCTGAGAGGAGGGTGGGGAACTAGCTGGCAACAGGACCCAGGTGTCCTGGTGGAGGCGGCTCCTCCTCCGCCCACACCCCTCTGGCTTCCTGAGCAGGGTCCCGGCCCTCAGCCCTGGCTGGGGTTTCAGGCACAGCCAGGGACCCAGGTGCCAGACTCCAGGCTTGGGGGTGGGGTGTGAGTTAGTGTCCCCTCCTGCCCAATCTGGAGAGAGGGCCTGGGGGGGGGAGGAGCAGTCACATTCCTGGTTGCTGAGTGGCCCTGGGGGCGGGGTTGGGTTGTCATGGTGATGGGGATTGAGCTGGGGTGGGGGGACAGCATGCCTTTCCACCCCCTGCTCTCACACCCCTGTGTCTCTGGGTGGCGGGGAGGGCGCAGTTTGCTGGGCCTTCCTGGGGGGAGGGGCTGGACCTCTGTCCCCAGAGGCCACAGGGCAAGGGGGGAGGTGCTCAGGAGCCTGAAGACTCCATGTCTGGAGCAAGATGCCCCTCAGACTCTTGCCCAGCTTCCACCCCCTCTCCTGGGTGTGTGTCAGCTTATTTCCATCCACCCAGCCTCCCTGTCTCCCCAAGCCCCTAGTCAGACACACTGTTCTACTCTCTGAGTGTTTAATCACTGCCTTGGCCTTTCTCTCTTTCCTATCTGCGCCTGGGGCCCCAGTCAACATGGCCACCTGGCCTCTGTCCGGCGGGAAGCCAGGCTGCTGGGGCCGCTGCAAGTGTTGCTGGGAGTTGTAGTTCTCTCCCAACTCAGCTTGGCCTGGGCTTCTAGGGCCTGAACGGGGAGAGGCTGTGTAGGCCACCGCATCTCACTATTTCCCTGGTCTCCATCATTCTGCACCTTCTCCATCACAGCATCCCTCACCCCCTAGGGACATTTGAGGCAGAGGATCAAGTCAGGAGCTCTGTTTCTGAAATCTGGCCCTCCCTAACTTGTCCTGTCATTTTGGGTAAATCACTTTTCTGAGCTTCAGTTTCCTTGTCTGTAAAATGAGAGTCTATATCATGCGACTTTCAAAAAGAGTTCCCCAGAATTCTTTGGGGGAGCTGTTACTGCTGGGTAATACTAAATAGGCAGCCTCTTGGCCTCACCTCTTCACTTTCAGTCAGAGCAGTCTGTTTTTGTCTGTTTCATAGTCATCAAGTGACTATTGTGTACCCACTGTGTGCTAGGCACTGTGCTGGACACATGAACAGACTTCGCTCATCTTGGGGAAGGTATAGTCCACATAGACATTAATATTGGAATTGTAAAAAGCACTGTGAAGGAGACGTGCTGAGAGTTTTATCTGGGAAACCGAACAGATTGGGAGAGATGGGGAAGCTTTCTGGAGGAAGTGATGATGGGCCTGAGGTCGGAAGGCTGATCAGGAGTTAGTGAGTATAGAAGACTGAGATCAGTGTGGCTGGAGCAGAGAGCAGAATGACAGTGTTCTGGGAGATGATGATAGCAGACATATATGTGGGACAGACCACTTTATGGTCATTTAAGCCTTACAGCCCTTGGACTGTGACACTCTCCATTTTACAGATGAGAAAACTGAGGTTCTGTAAGTTGCCCAAGGTCATACAAATACTAGTGGCAGCACTGGAATTCAGACCTTGACATTATGTATAATGGTGAATGGGTGGTCCCTAGAATCCTGAAAAGCCACTAGCAGGGAGAAAGAATGCTCAGACCCGCGCTTGGAAAGGCTCCCTCTGGTGGCAGCATGGAGAATGGGTTGTAGTGAGCCAAGAATTGAGGCTGTGGTTTCCGTCCAGGCCAGAGGCGTGACAGTGGGTGGACCGGCCAGGGTGATGGCAGAGACGTGGAGCCTTCTGGACGGGATCTGTTGAGGGATGCTGTTTGGTTTGTGAAGGAGAGGGAGGATTTCTGCTGGCCTTTTGTGTCTGACTTCCTTTGAACAAAGTCCCACTGCTTAAAATGGTTTAGAAACCCCTTGGTGAACTCCTAGGTCCCTCTCAGCCTGATTTTCACATATGTGCCTTAGAGGTCAGCCCCCGCAGCCTATCCTCTGGCCCCCAGTTCTTGCCCGTAGGACTCCAGCTCATCTTCCCTTTCCTCATTTTGCTCTCAGATTGATGAGATGCCGGAGGCTGCCGTGAAATCAACAGCCAACAAATACCAAGTCTTTTTTTTCGGGACCCACGAGACGTGAGTGAGGGGGCAGAAGTGGTAGGGAGGGCCGGCTGGGGGGGAAGAGCGGTGGTGATACCACCCCTTGCCTGTGGGGTTGCACAGCTCAGATGCAGTGAGGGGCTCGAGAGCACAGTCTCCCATCTCTCACCAGGGCATTCCTGGGCCCCAAAGACCTCTTCCCTTACGAGGAGTCCAAGGAGAAGTTTGGCAAGCCCAACAAGAGGAAAGGGTTCAGCGAGGGGCTGTGGGAGATCGAGAACAACCCCACCGTCAAGGCTTCTGGCTACCAGGTGAGCTGCCGGCCGCCCCCAGAGACCACCCCCCCCTCTTTGGAAAGCAGGTGTGGCCATAGGTGTGATCACACAGGACCCAGGTGTGATGCTTAGTCTTCATGAACAGGGGGACTCAGAAACCAACACCAGGGCTTTCAGAGTAGGCGCTCGTGGGGTGAGGGGTGGGGGGCTTCCTGCAAGAGGGCATGGGGCTATGGGTGTGCGATGTAGCTGTGGTGAGGGGCCACTTGTTAGACAGCGCCTGGGAGGGGCAAGAACAGGACCGAGGCGGTAAGTGGGGGCAGGCCTTCGGCGGGCCCAGAGTCAATAGAAGACGTGGCCTTAACTCTTTCCACAAAGGCTTCCAGGAGGAGGTGCTCGTGAGCCGGGCAGGATGAGGCGGGAGGGTGGGGGGCTGGGTCCCAGCTCCCTTTGGGAGAAGTTGACCCGAGGTTTTGCCTCCTGCTCCAGCCCTCCCCCCTCCTGCACAGAGCCCTGCCTGCCCGGCCAGTGGGTTTACCCCGGGGCTAATCCGACAGAGGTGGGTCTCAAATCACTTGTGAGACTGGGCACCTGGGTGGGGGCGGGGGAGAGGCGGGCGAAGGAAGGAGTGAGTGGCCGAGGGAGGGGTCTGGGGAGGGGGCCCTGCGCGGCAGCCGCTGGTGCCACTCAGCCTGCGCCGTCTCCACCGCAGTCCTCCCAGAAAAAGAGCTGTGTGGAAGAGCCCGAAGCCGAGCCCGAAGCCACTGAGGGTGACGGCGACAAGAAGGGGAACGCCGAGGGAAGCAGCGATGAGGAAGGGAAGCTAGTCATTGACGAGCCAACCAAGGAGAAGAACGAGAAGGGAGCGCTGAAGAGGAGAGCGGGGGACCTGCTGGAGGTAACTGCCCCCTACCTGGGCTCCCAGAAGCAAGGCTCCTAGTCTTGAGGAGAGAAATTACTGCTTTCTCAGGGAGTGTCCAGTCTGAGAGACTCAGCCCCTAGTCCTGGGGGGCAGTCCCTCCTGAGAAGATGGGCTGCAGGAGACAGTAGAGCTGGCAGAGTGCTGGGCTGCCCGGGGAGGAGCCTCTGGGGAGAGCGGGGGAGGCTGGCGTTGTCCCCGCCTTGCCTCAGCCGTCCCTCATCTCTGCCTATCCGGCGCAGGACTCCCCCAAACGTCCTAAGGAAGCAGAAGACCCTGAAGGCGAGGAGAAGGAGGGGGCCGCCTTGGAGGGTGAGAGGCCCCTCCCAGTGGAGGCAGAGAAGAACAGTACCCCGTCTGAGCCCGGCTCTGGCCGGGGGCCTCCTCCAGAGGAAGAAGAGGAGGAAGAAGAGGAAGAGGCTGCCAAGGAAGACTCGGAGGCCCCGGGCATGAGAGATCACGACAGGTGAGTGAGCCCCCTGCCCCTTGGCAGCTGGGCTGGGAGGGCCCAGCCCTCTGCTGAGAGGAGGAGGAGGGCTTGCAGCAGTCAGCCTCACGGGAGGCAGGGCGGGGCTCTCCCAGGAGAACCGCGCTGGCTGGGGCCTGGCCAGGCCAAGGCCACATCATTAACCCTTCTCCCCTCCAACCCTCCCCCGCAGCCTGTAGCCACCAATGTTTCAAGAGGAGCCCCCGCCCCGTTCCTGCTGCTGTCTGGGTGCTACTGGGGAAACTGGCCATGGCCTTCAAACTGGGAACCCCTTCCCCACCCCAATCCACTCTCCTTTTCCCACTCACTCCCCCCTTCTGAGCTCAGACCCTGGAGATTGACCCCGATGGGGCAGGCCACATGGCCCTCACCTCAGTGTCCCCACACACCTGTGACCTGAGTCAGGTCCATGTCTTCTGCTCTGTGGGATGAGATGAGGCCATTGTGTCCCTCCCTGCCTGGAGTTGTTTCCCAGTGTACTTGTTAGGGCCTGGACCGGCTATTTCCATCTCCTGACACCCTTCGCCCCCTTCCCCGGGCATTCTAGATGTCTAGGTTGGCTGGGATCAGGGCTATGAATGGAAGGGATGGAGAATAAATAGCAGGGTGGGCTTCTGGAGTCTGGGAGGGGCAATCTTCAAATTGGGGTGGGGGGTTGGGTAAGAGGATGACATCTCCCTGAGCTCCTGTCCCTTCCTCCCACACCTATTATCCCAGCTGCCTGGATTCAGGGAAAGTGGGACAGCTGGGGTGGGTGGCGTGGGGAGTGGGAGAGGCGCTCCCTTCCATAAATCTTTGATTGATAGTGCCCAGTTGTCTCACTTATGCAGACCCCAGGTGTTGTGGGAGTTACAGTTTATCATCAAAAGATTTGGGGTCTTCCAAGTTCTTTGGGTCAAGGACCTGAGATCTGAAGGACTGACTTCACCCAGCTTGGGTGGGAGTGTTGAGAGTATTCATCCCCCTTTAGATCTCAGGCCAGAGATGGGATGCCCTGGGGAGACCCTTAGCTACCCTTTTCCCTCTTCTCACAGTGCTCAAGGCCAGCCTATAGTCACACACATCACCCAGACATAAAGGAAAAGACACATTTTTTAGGAAATGTTTTTAATAAAAGAAAATTACAAAAAAAATTTTAAAGACCCCCCCCATCCCTTTGTGTGCCGCCCACTCTTGCCCCCATTTCTGAGGTGCACTGGGAGGCTCTCCTTCTGTTTGGGGCTTGATGACTTTTCTTGTTGTAGTTGGAGCTTTGGTGTTCCTGCTGATGTCATTTCCCATCCACACACCCCCGACCTGGTCCACTCAGTGTTGTCACCAGATCCGATTTGTAACCCACTGAGAGGCCAGAGGGAAATAATCGCCCTCTCCCAACCTCTTTCTAGTGGTTTCTTTGCCTCTTTGGTTTCTTGTCTCTTTCACCCTTGCCCCGCTCCCTTGGGCTCTGATGAAAACTTGCTGACTGTAGCTTTGGAAGTTTTAGCTCTGAAAACCGTAGATGATTTCAGTTCTAGGAAAATAAAACCCATTGATTACTACATTGGATTTTGACTGGTTCTTGGAGGTGTGTGGGTTAACTGGTGGTGCAGGGGAGTGGGGAAAGAGACTACAAATGGTTTCCAAATTCTCTTCTCAGATTCAGGTAAGGGGTGCCAGCTTCCTCCATCCTCAGTCTGTTAGAAATACCTAAAATTCACGTAGAATTTCACTCTCGAGAGTCTGGAGATCAAACCAGTCAATCCTAAAGGAAATCAACCCTGAATATTCATTGGAAAAGACCCTGATGCTGGGAAGGATTGAAGGCAAAAGGAGAAGGGCAGTGCAGAGTATGAGATGCTTAGGTAGCATCACTGACTCAATGAACATGTATGTGAGCAAACTCTGGGAAATAATGGAGGATTAGAGAATCCTGGCATGCTATAGTCCACGGGGTCGCAGAGTCAAACATGACTTGAGACTGAACAATGAAATTTCCACATGAGGGCAAAGTCACAGAATACTGCGCCCAGTACTCGGGTTCTGCCCAGCCAGTTTAACATAGTTTCCCCCTAAGCACCTGGGAAAGTTTTTTTTAAGTTTGCACAATGGCCAGGAAAGGGAGGGTTGAGTCTGGTTGTAGAAACAACTTGGACGCTCAAGGGCAAAGCTAGGGATGCCTGCTACTGATAACTGTTGAAGGATGAGGAGGTCCACAGCATGGAATCCTCCCAATACTCCTGAATTAAGTGGAATGGCTGGATTTCATCCTCTCTTGTTTCTTCCAGTCTGACATTTTGTGACTAGTTCATCCACTGGCACCGAAAGGCCCAGGTTTCATCCCTTTAAAAAGCCTATGACACTTTGGTCATCTGCCTTGGCCCCCTCCAGCAGAGAAGGGAGGGCGGGGAGAGTACTGACTGTGGTCTCACTAGAAGGGGAGGCTCTCTGCTTTGAAGAAGCCGCAATCACCTAGAAAATGGAGCCACGGTCCCTGGTAACTACAATTCCCAGCGGCCTCCACGTAGAGCACGTGCAGGAATGTGCCTGGCGCCGCAGCCTATCCGACTTTGCCTTCAACTCCCGACGTGCTTCACGGTGCTCTTACGCTTCCTCGATTTCCTACCCGGTCAAATTTCCTGCTTCCCGCTTGCTACGTGGCGGTGGACTACAACTCCCAGCATGCAGAGAGGCTAGATTCGTTGTTGAGCGTCCATTGTACAATTAGACTACGATTCCCAGAAATCTGAGGGATGGAGTTGGGCGGGGCGTAGATCCCACGTGCCTACGGGACCCGCAGAGGCAGGCGGATCAGCGGGAAGCGGAGGTGAGGATTTCGTGAACCAGAGGTTTCGGCACCTCTGGGCTGTTCGGGGAGGTGGGAACGGGAAGGTCCTTTGCCCCGGCATGGCTCAATTGCTTCGTCTGGGGTCTCCAAGCATCGGAAGCTCGGAGCGGCTGGGTGCTGAAGACCTCTGGGGGCTGATCATTACCCGCACCTAGGATGGGACTGGCGGTGGAAGCAGTCTTTGGAGCTGGGGCCTGAGGGGTCACTACCTACACAACAGTTCACCTAGAGCGTGCAGTGGAAGCCCCACTGCGGAAGGTCACCAGCCTCTCCAGGGCTTGGAGAGAAAGAAGGAAAAGACCTAAGGGGACTGGCTTCTGGGATCGCCTCTCTGAGCTTCAGATCTAGAACGGCTGAGGCTAAGAGACGTCTTGTGGCAATCACGCAGGAGACTCAGGTCTTGAGATTCGCGCTGCTACTATCAAGCTGTGTGAACTCGGTCAAGTCACCACCTCTCAGGGCCTTGGTTTCCTCGTCTCTTGTCAACCTCCCCCAAACAGCAGTGTGACGATCAAATGCCAGGAATAGTAAGGTTCCTAACCTTAGATCTGTCACATAGTGGTGCTCCCTAAGCATTTTTTTATTTTGAGTGAACGAACACTGAGGCCCTTAACTTCAGTTCAGTTCAGTCGCTCAGTCGTGTCTGACTCTGAGACCTCACGAACAGTAGCACGCTAGGCCTCCCTGTCCATCACCAACTCCCGGAGTTTACCCAAACTCATGTCCATTGAGTCAGTGATGCTATTTAACCATCTCATCCTCTGTCGTCCCCTTCTCCTCCTGCCTTCAATCTTTCCCAACATCAGGGTCTTTTCAAATGAGTCAGCTCTTCACATCAAGTGGCCAAAATATTGGAGTTTCAGCTTCTACATCAGTCCTTCTGATGAACACCCAGGACTGATTTCCTTTAGGTTGGCATGGTTGGATTTCCTTGCAGCCCAGGGGACTTGCCGGAGTCTTCTCCAACACCACAGTTTAAAAGCATCAATTCTTCTGAGCTCATCTTACCTTATAGTCCAACTCTCACATCCATACCTGACTACTAGAAAAACCATAGTCTTGACTAGATGAACCTTTGTTGACAAAGCAATGTCTCTGCTTTTTAATATGCTGTCTAGGTTGGTCATAACTTTCCTTCCAAGGAGTAAGTGTCTTTTAGTTTCATGGCTGCAGTCATCATCTGCAGTGATTTTGGAGCCCCCAAAAATAAAGTCTTCCTCTGTTTCCCCATCTAATTGCCATGAAGTGATGGGTCCAGATGCCATGATCTTAGTTTTCTGAATGTTGAATTTTAAGCCAACTTTTTCACTCTCCTCTTTGACTTTCATCAAGAGGCCCTTTAGTTCTTCTTCACTTTCTGCCATAAGGGTAGTGTCATCTGCATATCTGAGGTTATTGATATTTCTCCTGGCAATCTTGATTCCAGCTTGTGCTTTGGAGAATTTTGAGCATTACTTTACTAGCATGTGAGATGAGTGCAATTGTGCGGTAGTTTGAGCATTCTTTGGGATTGCCTTTCTTAGGGATTGGAATGAAAACTGACCTTTTCCAGTCTTGTGGCCTCTGCTTCATCCAGCATTAATTAAAAATAGTATTAGGTCTTTTGTTTACCATATTGAGAAATATAGAGAAGAAAAATGACCCAATATCTCAGTATTCAGATAAGCCAGTTGATATATATTTTTGAATGTATGTAGTTAGAAAATGCAAATGTTTTGGAAAGGAACAGCCCTCTCAAACTGCCTCTTCCCCAAAACAGGTACTTTAGTTGGTCCCTGTTTCCTTCTGCTAAATATTTATGCCTATGTCAGAATATGTATTTTTAAATTCACCCAGAAAGGATAGTACTATCCACATAATTCTGTCTTGCTTTCTTAAAATATTAGAAGTAACTTGAATGACAGAAACAGCTCTGTAAAATTTTATAGATAATGGAGCTGAAGCTCAGAAGACAAGGGTCCCAGAATGAATTGATGGTGGAGCAGAGACTAGATCTCAGGTCCTCTGACTACCCAGTCCAGAGCTTTTAATGTCATCATAGTGAACTTTAATTGTTCTTTGAATTAGGCTTCATTCTTAGCTATGGAGCAAGGTTAGTGGTACCTCCTTTGTCAGTTGTCCTTGGGGTTAAATGAGATGACACATGAACGCACTTAGCATGGCCACTGGAAGGTAGCAGGTGCCCATTGGGTTAGTCCATTTTCCTTCAAGAACTGGGAAGCTTAGAGTTCATACTTAGTTTGAAATTGTAGGTCTCTGTAATCCGACAGTCTTGCTCTGGATCTTTTTCCTTTAGAAAAGAAACTATCTCAGGGGAAGTGATTGTTTCCTGATTGAGATTAGGAACTGGAAGTCTTATAGGGCCAGGGGAGCCCGGCAGGTTACAGTCTGTGGGGTTGCAAAGAGTTTGGACATGACTGAGCAACTGTGCATGCACATAGGGACATCTTAATCCCAATTTTTATCTCTGCTACCTGTTTGTCTTACCCTATAATTGCCTGGTTTTTGGACTTATGCCAGTGTTTTCTTTACATCTTGCTGTTGTTGAAAGATGACTTTTTATTGAAAGACTTTTTATTGAGTACCGAATACTTGCCAAGGTTTTCCCAGGTGGTTCAGTGGTAAAGAATCCACCTGCCAATGCAGGAGACTCGGGTTCAATCCCTGGGTCAGAAAGATCCCCTGGAGAAGAAAATGGCAACCCACTCCAGTATTCTTACCTGGGAAATCCCATGGACAGAGGATCTTGGCCGGCTACAATCCATCGGGTCACAAGAGTCAGACACAACTGAGTGACTAAACAATAGGTGCCTGACCCTACTAGGATCTTCTAGATTCAGGGGCGATCTAGATAACATGGTCCTGGCCTCAGTGAACTTTTTTGGACTTTGAAGTCAGGTATCTGTGGGTTTGAATGCCGATTCTGCCACATAGTAACTATGACCGTTGACAAGTCACTTAAATTATGAGTCTATATCATCATCTGTAATAGTGAAGATAGTATCTTATGAGGATTCAGTAGGATGAAGTCCGTTGAGCCATGGAATAGGTGCTTAAAAAGATGTTTCTTCCCTTGTTTCTTTGCCCTCTTGTTTCTGTCTGCCTCAGAGCTGACTAGGAAGCTTTCTGGGTCTTTCGCTGCCAGGGGATTTCTCACAGCCTCCAGCCATGCGGCTCTCTGCTCTGCTGGCCTTGGCATCTAAGGTCACCCTGCCTCCCAACTACCGCTATGGGATGAGCCGCCCAGGCTCCTTGGCAGATAAAAGGAAGAACCCTCCAGGGACCAGGCGGCGCCGGGTGGCTGTGGAACCCATCCCTGAGGAAGACTGGCATCTGTTCTGTGGGGATAGGGTGAGAGTCTCAGACAGGGTTGGGTGGTGGAGTGCCCCCGGGGAAGGATCTCCCTCCCTACCCTCGTTGTCTTCCCACAGGTAGAGATCCTAGAAGGCAAGGACGCCGGGAAGCAGGGCAAAGTGGTTCAAGTTATCCGGCAGCGAAACTGGGTGGTTGTCGAGGGACTGAATACAGTAAGTAAAGAGTGAGGGTGGTGATGCTCAGGAAGCCTGTGCCATCTGTCCATCCATTAAAAGCCGCGTGGGGAGGACAGAGACTGGCTGAGAGGATGGTGCGACAGCCGAACCTCTGAACCTTTTTCTCACCTTGGACTGAATGCTCTGAGTTGTGGTAGACAAGCCGCCTTCACATGCCTTGGTTTCTGATAGCCACCCTCCCCCGCTGTTTTGGACAGCATTACCGCTATGTTGGCAAGACTGTGGATTTCCGGGGAACCATGGTCCCCAGCGAAGCACCCTTGCTCCACAACCAAGTCAAACTTGTGGATCCTATGGACAGGTAAGCACAAGGGGCTCTGGTCAGAGGGTTTCCTGCCTTCTGCTGGCAAGTTGTTGACCATATTTATCCAAAGGGAATGGTGGGTTGGATGTGCTGGAAATTGAGAGGGGACATCTTATGGACATGACCCCCTGTAGGAAGCCCCAATCCAGGGGTAGCAGAGAAATAAGATGGTGACTTTGGGGCTGGAAGATAGCAGGGAGACCTGCTCCCTGGAGGTCTCACTTTCTATCTACTAGGAAGCCCACTGAAGTGGAGTGGAGATTCACTGAGGCAGGAGAGCGAGTACGAGTGTCCACAAGATCAGGAAGGATCATCCCGAAACCTGATGTTCCCAGAGCTGATGGCATCGTCCCTGAAACATGGATTGGTGAGGCTGGGTGAGGGGCAGGAAAAAGAGTGGGCGTGGGAGTAAGAGATGTTAAGAAGCCCACCCATCTTCCTTCCTCCGGTTCAACAGATGGCCCCAAAGACACATCAGTAGAAGATGCTCTAGAAAAAACCTATGTGCCTCGTCTAAAGACATTGGAGGAGGAGGTGATGGAGGCAATGGGAATCCAGGAGACTCGGAGACACAAGAAGGTCTATTGGTATTGAGTCTGGGGGAGCCACTTCTCTCCTCGTCTTAGCCTTGAAGATTGCGGTCACCTCTTCTTCAGACGCTAATAAAGAGCCTTGTTGTCCTCTGTCTTCTGATAAGACTTGCACCCGGACCCCTGTTTCAGGGGCTGAGGGAGGGAGCGTCTGTCATGATGTCATGACAAAACCTGGATGGAAGTTAACGATCTTAAGGGGGTCCTCCCACAGGGCAGGGCCTGCAGATTTCTCGGATGGAGATCAAAGGGCGAGAGCTTCCCCTCACAGAGACCTCTGAATAATAGGGCGCTGCCTGTTAGGAAGACCGCAGGGACTGGGAGTATGAGACCTAAATTAGAACCTCAGCAGGATTCAGTAGGGAGGGTGCTGGTCTGTCCTTTATACCTAATAAAATGGTAGACAAGTACAGATTTCAATTTTTTAATAAGTTGAAAATAAACTTCTGCATAATATTATATAACATACACAGGGAGAGAAAGGGTATGACGCTGGTTTGTAGGGAACCCAGATGCCAGGGAGGATGCAGGATGCTGGTTCTCTGGCTGAGGTGGCGAAGACTGCCTCCCATCGTGGTGCCTGGCAGTTTCAGATGGGGTCTGAGATGCGCCCTTCCTCTGGCTGCGTCAGCTATCTTCAGTCTCCAGAAGAGAGAAGGCCTCACCTAGAGGCCCTTTGGTGGCCACCAGAACCAGGTTTCTTGGAGAGAGTTCAGGACTGAAGATTGGCAGGAGCTCAGCGTGGAAGCCTGTGAGAAAGGCAGGGCTACTCAGGAGAGAAATGAAACAAACTCGTAGCCACTTCCTGCCTAACCTGTACACACAGCTCCTCTCCGCATAGGAGAGGCCCAGGAGGATCTAAGGAAACCCTGCTTTCTACCAGGAACATGAGTGCCCGAGATGCTGACTTGGGAGGAGGCAAGCCTCAGCACATTGTAGGGATGCTGGCTTAAGGTGAACCTCAGGTATGTATCACCTATCTTATGGTGATAGGCATCCAGATTCACCAGGAATTTGCATTAACAGGCCCTCCCTCCCCCTGTCTGATGCTGAAACAGCTGTTGGCCCTAGAATCACCATGGTGATGGGCCAAGTCCCAGCAGGTGTAGGGGCGGGGACCTGAAGGAGACCCCTAGAGCTCTAGCCCCTCTAGCCCTGGGTCCCTGGTGTGGCCCCCCTCACCTTGCTCCTGAAGGTAGAGCAGCCGGTCCAGTAGAATCAGAGTCTCCACCAGTGGGGCCAGCAGTAGGGCTAGGCTGAAGAAGGCCACTACACGGTTCTCTTGGGCCTGGTGAGCTCGAAGGGCAGCCACATTCAGTGGCAGGTGGGGGTCCAGCCCCACCCGCTGTAGCCCCCGCTGCACGTATCTGTGGGGTCAGTCATAGACAGCACTCAGCTTAGAAAGCCACTCCTCCATTCAAACTGTCCGTTTGTAATTCAATTCCAGCTCTGCTTTTCTACCTTAAGGGCATTTAAAAGTATATATTTATTTGGCTGTACTGGGTCTTGGTTGTGGCATGTGGGATCTAGTTTCCTGACCAGGGATCAAACCTGGGGCCCCTACATTGAAGCCACTGGAACACCAAAGAAGTCCCTTAAGATGCATTTTTATTTACAGAGTTTTCTGGCTGTGAACTGTCCGTTCAATAGCAAATCAATCCAAAAATTTATTTTTAGACAAACCTGTCTAATTATTTGGGCTTCCCAGGTGGCGCTAGTCGTAAAGAACCCGCCTGCCAGTGCAGGAGACTAAGAGACGTGGGGTTCAATCCCTGAGTCAGGAAGATCCCCTGGAGGATGGCATGGCAACCCACTCCAGTGTTCTTGCCTGGAGAATCCCATGGACAGGAGCCTGGTGGGCTACAGTCCATAGCGTTGCAAAAAGTCAGACATGAGGCGACTTAGCACGCACACATGTCCAATTATTTAGCCATATTTTTATCATTTCAAAAAAGAGGGACAACTACCTTTTAAAGAAAATGTGAAGCTGTCTCAGAACTCAGTCACTACCCCCTCCCCCAACCCAGCACATCTAGATTTTCTTTAGGACATGCTAACAAGTGAGGGTGGGAGGGGAATCATACCCCTAGTAGGTGATGCCCCCCATCTCACCCCCCCAGGCCCCCAGCCTCACTCTTCAATCTTGAGCTCGTGGACCCTGGGAATCCCCTGCACGCCTGGCCGCCGGAGCTCAGGCTGGGCACCCCGGATGACGGTCTCCAGTGCTGCGCGATAGCAGTGGGTTCGGAGGCTGGGGCCTGCTTTCTGTAGCCGCTCAGCATATTCCTCCAGGGCATGGCAGGCCCCCTCCCGAAGCCTGTAGGGCAGTTCACAGCCGGGCAGCCCGGCCACCCACTGACTCAGTGGGTAGCCGCCAGGGTCACTCAGCTTCATGTAGCAGCAGCCCACTGAAGCCAGGGCCACCACCTCGGGGCAGCAGGAGAAGTGCCTCAGCAAGGCGACACTCAGGTCCCCACAGGCGTGGAGGCCCGTCAGCAGCAGGCGGGCCCCGCTCTGAGGTGAGGTCTCCAGTGGAAGCAGGAGCTCCTCGCACAGGGCCGTGGGGTCTACCCACCTAACTACGTGGTGTGGGGGGTGACGAGGGCCAGTGTGGACCACCTGTGGAGGCAGGACAGAACAAAGGCAGATGGGAGGCCTGTTTCCTGTCCTCGCGCCACCTCAGGCCACAGGAAGGGATCTGTCCTGAGTTCCTTCCCAAGGAGGAAGGTGGGAGAGCAACTGGGGCAGAGGAAATGGGATAGATTCTGCGTCTGTCATTACTAACTGCAAATCTTTTCAGCTCTGAGTCCCAGCTTCCTCATTTGTAATAAGGCTGATACCTGATTGGCCACTTTGTACAGGTGGCTGTGAGAAGGGAGAAAGCAGTGTAGAAAGCACTTTTTAACTAGAAAGTGCCTTTAAGATGAGGCTTTGGTGAAGGAGGGATCTTGGGAAAGAGGTAGCAGAAACAGGGACACACCATCTCGAGCTGAGACACTTAAAAGCAAGAGTTCAGCCTTGGTGCCCAGTTTCAGCCAAGTTGATCCTGCTCTCATGGTCCTGGCTGCAGGAAGAGCTGGTCTACCTTTGGGTTCCTCTTCTCCTCTTTCTCCAGAGTCTGTAGGAGCTCCTGGTCTAGGCGCTGGGCTCTCTCCACCAGTCTCTGATCCCCTTCAATGCTCTTTACCGTCAGCCCCAGCCCCAGGGACATGAAGCGGGAGAGATGGCCCTGGAGTCAAGAGAAGGAGGGTAAAGACGGCCCTGTTCAGGGTCCCCTAAAGTCCCCATCCCTGCCTATGGTTTGGACACTTGGGTACCAGGCCCCCAGAGGCTTAAATTCTGCACAGCTTACTTCCTGTGCCCCTTATTACCTGCCCCTCTGGGCATGTGGCCTGATAACCCGCCTTCTAGTTGTTCTATCCCCATGACAAAAAACCCACAAAAAATAAAAGCAGATTATTATGGGTCTGGCTCACCTGGCCTGAGCCTACATCCACAACCTGGGTGCAGCCTGTGAGGTCACTCAGCTTCTTCACCAACTGAAAGGAGAGGGAACAAAGGTCCCCTGGCCATTGGATGTTGGCTCCCAGGACAAACACTCACAATGAGAGCGGAGAGGAGCTGAGGATGGCAGAGGAAGACGGGTAGGGGGTGCCATGGAGGAGACAAGAGACATGGAGACCTAAATAGGGTGTGCTGACCCCTGGCTCAGGCTACTGTCTTTGCTCCTCTCAGGACAGTGATTCAGTCCCCACAGAACAAGAGCCCTGCTGTGACGCCATGAGCAGATTGTGAAGATTATCAGAACAAGAATAAGACAGTGATTCAACTATAGCCACCAACCAACCCAGCAAAAGGATCAAGATAGGATTATAATATACTTGCCAGGGAAGGGACCTTCTAGGGCCTCTGGTCCTATAGGTGATAAAAGGTGCCCAAACCTTAGTAACCCCTAGGCTTAAGGAGTCCCCAAGGCCCCCAGATACCACCTGTACCCCAGCCATCTCCTCACCTCTCCCAGCCTCCGAATCTCATGCTGCTTCTTGGGCCTGACATGTTTCCGGAATGGAGCTGTCAGCCGGGAACTCTGGCTGGGATTCTCCAGGAACTCTGAGGGGGTCTGAAACCCAGGCGTCCGGGTAAAGGCCAGGGCATAGGCTGTGGACTTCAGGGCCAGCAGGGTGAGTGGCCACACCGACCTGTACCTGAGATAGCCCGCCCAGGCCCCCTGTGAATAGTCCCATTGCATCCTGAGTGTGCCAGCTTACAACCCAGGAAGCCCTTGTGAGACTGAGCAATGGCTCCCTGCAGGGCTCAGCTCCGAGTCCCCCAGCACAGGGTCCCTCTTGCCCATACCTGGCCACTTCCCCTTCTCTGGGCATCCCCAGCAGCAGCGTGGCCAGCTGTGGCGGGTTCAGTCCATCCAGTGCTTCCTGCCACGAGCAAGGGAGTGTGCCCCATAGGTTGTCCGTGAAAAATTCCTGTAGGGGAAAGGGAGAAGCAATCAACAGGCTACTTCCCCTCCCATTCTTCCCTACCCATACAACACATGGCCACCAGCTACTAGCAGGAACCTCTCCTCGTTGGTTACTTCTCTGAAGTCTGCTCTAACCTTCCCCTCCTTCCTGAGCCCAAATTGCATTCTGGACACACTTCTTTTAGAAATGTCCCCCTTATTTATATGTGTGTCCTCCACTCAACTGAACTTAGGGGCGTGTATGGTGGCTTTGCACCTGCCTCCTTAACACAGCAGTGACTAACACACACTATTAGTATGTTACCATCTAGTAACCTACTGTTACATGCACCAGACACCATAGATGCCAGACATTATATATGCCAAAATGTTTGTTTTTGTTTTTATTTTTGGTCACCACATGTGACATGTGGGTTCCTAGTTCCCTGACCAGGGGCTGAACCTGGGCTCTCTGCAGTGAAAACACCAAGTCCTAACCACTGGACCACCAGGGGTTCCCTGCCAGAATTTATTTTTATTCATTTATTTGTTCAACACAAATTCTGGAGCTTTGCTTAGGTATCAAGTTCTATCCTAAGCTCAGGGGATACAAACAATGAAACAGACAAGATCCCTGCTCTTGCAGAGTTTACATTTAAAGAAATTATTTCAAGTAACATCAAGTGTCACGTAGACAATAAAACACTAATGAGACAGTAACATAATGGAGAGTTTGAGAGTGTACTTTTAGATAGAGTAATACAGCACATGTAAAACACTGCATGCATTGGTTGCCCAGAGGCAGGGGTGGGGGTAAGTAAAATAGGTGAGGAAAGTCAAAAAGTACAAACCTCCAGTTACAATGTAAATATCATGGAGGATGTATAGTATGGTGACTGTTGTAAATAATACTATATTGTATGTCTGAAAGTTGCTGAGAGTAGATCTTAAAAGTTCTCATCATAAGAAAAAAATTAACTATGTACAGTGATGGATATTAACTGATGCAGGAGATGGTTAGATAGCATCACTGAGTCAACAGACATGAATTTGAACAAACTCTGGGAGACAGTGGTGGACAGGGAAGCCTGGTGTGCTGCAGTCCATGGGGTCGCAAAGAATCAGACAAACTTAGCCACAGAACAACAATTATTTCATAATATATACAAATAGGAATCATTACGTTACACACCTGAAACTAAAATGTTACATGTCAATTCTATCTCAACTTTTAAAAAATTCAGGTAGTAGCAAACACAGAATACTTTAATATGTCAGATACTGTCTGAAACATTTTATATATGTTAATGCATTTCATTAATCTGTCCAAGTCAAGAAGCCAGTAAGTAGTACAGCTGGAATCTGAAACCAATTCAACCCTAGAGTTTTGCCCTTAACCACCCTACTCAATTGCCTTTCTATTGAGAAAAACCTTCCAGGCAGATCAGTAAGTGCAAAGCCCCTGATCAGGCCAGTGTAGATGTAGTATAGTGAATGTGGGAGAGAATGAAATGTGATCCGGTTTAAAAGGGAGCTTGTAGGTAATGGTAGTTACCACTACCTATACTTAGGATCCAGGCAAGAATACTGGAATGGGTTGCCATTTCCTACTCCAGGGGATCTTGTCAACCCAGGAATTGAACCACGTCTCTTGGGTCTCCTGCATTGGCAGGCAAATTCTTTACCACTAGTGCCACCTGGGAAATCCCAGAGTATCTAGGAAGCAAGAAATGTGACGATCAGATTTACATTTTTAGACAGTCTGCCTGTTTTGTGAAGAACTGGGTATGGAAGGGAGGAAGCAAATACAGAAATCAGGAAGTAGACCAGAAGAGAGATAATGTTGGCTTGGCCTAGGGTGGTAGCAGTGTCAATGGAGACAAATGGGTGAGTTTGGTATCTATTCTGGAGGTTGAATCAACAGACTTGTTGAAAGAACTGAATCAGAAAAACCTGAATCAAGGATGGCTTCTGGGTTTGGGAAATGAATAATTCAGTGGATGCTGGTGGCATTTATACATCATCTCATTTATTCTTTACAATGATCCTTCAAAACGGGATCCATTTTACAGCTGAGAACCTGGAGCTAGGAGGAATTTTTTTTTTTTTTTGAAAAATTTTTTTTATGCCTAATGTTAGTTAACACGATAGGGAAGGCGGGATTCTAGTCGGACTCTGTCAACTGCCAAGTTGGAATTGTCCATTACACGGAAAAACCAGGAATTTATTCAAAACCTGAATGAACGAACATGTGTGTTCTTGAAAACACCTCACATGTTCCTGGGATAGTTCAACACTGCCGCAGCAGCATGGCTCAAATGTCCATGCGCTTTATTACTCCGGACACGAGAAGGTTAGAAAAACAACCTAGATGCTAGAAATATTGATATTTAGGTCATCAGGGAAAAAAAAGAATCGGGTGTTTTGCCCAGCTTTAACCCTTTCTTGTTCAGACAAAAGACTGAAAAAACCTATTAGAAAAAAAGATCAGACGCTAACTCTCCAGATTCTCCCCTAGTCGTGGCTAGGTAGCCAATCACACAACCAGGAGCACCCCACCCACATCCCTGTGGCCTCACGATGATGTAGGCGTCCAGGATGGAACGGTAGAGCGTCACGACCCGGGTGAGGTTCACCGCTAGCTGTCTCCTCTCTTCGTGAGAGAGGCGCCGGGCGGAGACCCCGGGCATTCCGGGGCCCAAACGGTGGCGCGGGGAGCGAGAAAGCAATGAGAAGAGAACCAGGGTTAGGACCACGCAGGTCCGGGATCCGGGTTGGGTTCAGCACTTCAGGTGGTCTCAGAAGAAAAAGTGTTGGGAATCTGTTCCCCGATGCTGCCTTTCCTGGATTCCAGGCTCGGGTTAAAGACTTCAGGCGCGCTCCTGTGACGTCACAGGTCGCGGCGTCTCACAGCGCCAAGGTGTCTACGTCTGAGACTAGCGGGGCGGGGGTGCCAGCGCAGTGACGCCATAGAGGCGTGGCGCAGTGCCCAGCTCACGAATAGGGGCGGGCCATGTCCCAGGTCCCGCCTCCAGATCCCGCCCCTTTCCGTACACTTCTCTCCTCTCCGGAAGTGAGGCCGGGCGTGTGCGGGTCCGCGGGCGCCGGCCTCCGGCGCGTTCCAACCCGCGGGCCTGCCGGCCCGGGCATCGCCGCCGCGCGCCAATTTCCGCATCCGGCTCCTGGCGCTTCCGGTCTTAGCGGGCCCATCTAGGAGGTAGGTGAGTGAACGTGCGAGGCTGGCTCCGCGGCGTGGATGGCAGTGTGCAGTCCCTTAGATTCGGTTCCTTCCCCTCCCAATGTGTGTTGTCAAAAGTCCTTTCGTGAGACAAAGATTTGAGTGAGATACATGTGGAGATTTCCCCCACCTGGAAACGAGGGAGATGAGTACCTGAATTTGGATCTCTACTCGTGGGGCCCGCGTGGGGATGCTAGGGTAATCCAGAGGTCAACTTTGCCAAACCTGTCACTGCCTTTGAGCACAGTTAGACGTTCCCTCCATGGGTAGATGATGGAGTTCACCTACTCTGGCGTTGTAGATCGCAGTTACAGCTAGTTGGCCCTGCGACCCCCTAAGTTTATAAATGAGACTGAGATCTAGAGAGGAGACATGGCCTTCCTAATACCATACAGCTGGTGAATTGTGGAGCTTTCTAGAATCCAGGCTTCCTGGTTCAGAATGAAGTTCTCCTTCTGTCATTTCACATTTGAGAGGTTATTCTGATCTCTTTCCTCTCTTAAGTCCTGCAAAGATGGGTCTTATTGATTCCCAAGTCTATGGGCTCTGTTATCAGGATCACTTTCTTCCCTAGGGTATGCTGCAAACCTCCAGATGCTGGTCTGTGGGATTCAGCAGATGAGTCTTCTATCCTTCTCTCATCTGTAAGCTGTTCTTCCCAACTGCTCTCTCACCAGCCAGTGTCATCATGTCTACCTTACTCCTCAATCTGGATTTTGGCGAGCCTCCCCCCAAAAAGGCATTGGAGGGAAATGCCAAGCACCGAAAATTTGTCAAGAAGCGGCGACTCTTGGAACGGAAAGGCTTCCTCAATAAGAAGAAGCAGCCCCCTAGCAAGGTGCCTAAGTTGCACTCAGAACCTTCAAAGAAGGGGGAAACTCCCAGGGTAGATGGCACTTGGAAGGCCACTCCCCTTCCAAAGAAGAAGACAACAGCTGCCTCCGGCAGTGGGTCAGAGCAGTCCCTGGACAAGAAAACTGCAGTGCCTTGGCTGACCCCTGCCCCTTCACAGAAGGCTGGTTCTGTTGTGGCTAAAGTAGATTTGTTGGGGGAGTTCCAGAGCGCCCTACCAAAGATTAAGAGCCACCCAACTCGCCCCCAGAAGAAGGGCTCCCAGAAGAATCCTCCACCCAAGAATGGCCCACAGAACTCCACCCAAACACATTCAGAGAGTAAATACTCTGGGGCATCCCAGAAGATACCTGGGAAGATGGTGGCAATTGACTGTGAGATGGTGGGTACTGGACCCAAGGGGCATGTCAGTTCCTTGGCTCGATGTAGCATTGTCAACTACGATGGAGATGTGCTTTATGATGAGTACATCCTCCCCCCCTGCCACATTGTGGACTACCGGACCAGATGGAGTGGTATCCGGAAGCAGCACATGGTAAATGCTACACCCTTCAAGATTGCTCGGAACCAGGTAAGAGGCATGAGGGATGGTGGTAGCAGCGAAGCAGATGGGGCGAAGTCCAAATCATTTTTCAGCACAGGATATCACTCTGGGAAGGCACCAAAGGATTGTGGAGGGAGGGTTGGAGTGTATGGAGTAGCAGATAAAGAAAGCTTTTCTTTTGGGATGAAGAGTGGTAAGAACCTGGAAACTTACAAGTAGCTGGTGTAATAAACTGTATTAGATTTGTTTTAGATCCCAAGTGGAATCCTCATCTGAATAATTGGGACTCTGCTAGAAAAAGAGCAACCTGTGATGGACAGAGTAGCAGGCATGAGTGCCAGGGGGAAAGGGCTCAATTTGAGAATACCTTGTAGAGGTGGGGCTAGGGCTGAGAACAGAGAGGTGGAGAGCGCTTCCCAAGCAAGAAGTGGCCCGTGGCAGTATAGAAAGTTGGTGGATAACTGGAACAGGCAGCCTGCAATGAAGGGGGTAAAAGACACAGGGCTGATATGTTGGGGTTCTCATCTCATTCACTGAGCAATCCTAGCCACTGTAAGCTCTATGCTGAAAACTGGAGGCACGCTGAATGAACAGGAAAGGAGGATGAGCTAATAGAGGGGAAGGGGAAAGGAGCCTGCTGGTCTTGGAAGGCCTCCAGAGGGCACCCTTGGTCCACTTTGTAATTTCAGCTCCACATTCTTTGTCTTGTCTAGACACACTGTTCCAGTAATTTCTCATATGCCAGAGCAGTCAATTGGAGGAATTTCATCAGAGGTAGAACAGCTGGATTTTAGAAAGAACATGAAGGGTCGAAGAACATCCTGTGCACCTGCAGGGGCGTAGCTGAACAAAGGCTCAGGAGAGTCAGACGATCGGGTGGATCTGAAACGGCACATTCACTTAGCTTTAGTGAAGGCTGTGTGTTGGAATTAATGCGAAGTAAAGGTGTTAGTGGTCCTACAGTTAAACTGTAGGGGCAACTAAATACCAAATTGATTAGACTATATCTGGTTTTTATCATAAAAATCACTGCCCAACCGGGGTATGAGACTAAGGTACATTCAGATGAGTCTACCCTTCCAAGGGGTCCCATTGGGAGGCCAGGCATTGATTCCAGGCCTGTTAACTCTTTCACAATCTGTTTGCAACCCCATTTTGGTAATGACCCTTAGAGTTCGTGGCATATTCTTTAGTTGTCCTCCTTGGAAGTGTGTCTTTTTCTTTTTTAGAGGGTGGGGCATACTTCGAGGCTTGTGAGATCTTTGTTACGGACCCAGGGATCAAATCTGGTCCCCCTGGCAGGGAGAGTGCTGAGTCCTAACCACTGGACTGCCAATTCTTAATTCCCAATTTTTAATTTTTTATAGCTTGTAGGCCCTTTGAGAGTCTGATGAAAGCCATCAATTCCCTC